TATTCGAAAATTTTGAAGAATAAAACGCTACACAATTGAAATTTTGAAAGTACGAATTCTAACCTAAATTGTTATAGGATGTTCCCAAAAAAGTGAACATGAATTGATCATTAACAGCTCTTTTTAGATTTAATCCTGATTCACTGGTTCGTTTTGAAGGACTAATGAATAGACATGCCTTTTTGTGTCGGTAGTATTCCGCCATGAAGTAGTATATGATGTAATAGCGTGAAGTACTTACCGTAACTTTTGCACGAAATGACGTTATCAGATCATACAATCTCAAATACGTCACATTGTCTCCTATTTTCGGCACACTCAACTTCAAATCTAAGCTAAAACCCAGTGAATTTCGTTTTTTGCTGGTAGTGTTGTGCCACAAGCACCTTTTGTCAATTAACTCTCTTGAAGCATTAGTCAACTCTCTGGAGAAATTCGCTCAACTCCTATCATAATGAATTAGCTTCTACCCTCTGGAAACAATTCGTATTTAGCAAATGAATCGTACATTGCTGCAAGGAGTTCGTGTAATCGAATTAGCTGGTCTTGCTCCAGTCCCACACTGTGGAATGGTTCTTGCTGATTTTGGGGCGAATGTGACTCTTATCGAAAAGGTATATTGAACTTTTTTCCAATTTCAATTAAGTATGTCCGTCTTTAGCCTGAACAAGATGGAATGGGAATGGAGCAACGTCTAGCAAATCGAAAAAATATCCAAGGTTTGGATTTGAAGAAGCCAGAAGATCGAGCAAAGCTGAAGCAGCTATGCAAAGAAAGCGATGTGCTTCTTGATCCATATCGACCAGGAGTTTTGGAAAAAATGGGATTAGATCCCCTTGATCTCTTAGAAGTATGTTATTTGGAAATTCAATCTCTTTGGAAAGACGTGTAAGATTCAGTTCTACTGCACGTAAATCGAACTATTCTGCAATCTGCTCCTACATTACAATTACTACATTCGCTGCTTAATTGCCTCTAAAGCTTTCCAAATACCTATCTCCTACTACTTTACATTTGCTTGTTAGAATGCCTCTAAAGAAAATCTTATTACAATTTTTTTATCAATTATTTCAAATAATACTTTTCTAAAAACCTAGTGGTCCTTTAAGATTATTAAAATAGGCTACTTCTGCTTTAATGTACTTAAAAAGTGGGATATCATTCAAAATAAAAGAAGTGATAAGCCAATTTAGCTTATCAAGAATATAATTGAGGAAAATGGAAAGATTCTGAGAAACGTATTTCTCAAAAATTATCTCGACATTTGATCCTTAAATTTTGTAAAAAAAAACTATCTCATTAGTTCATAAGCAAAAGGTAACA